ATAAGTTTAAGAAAAAAATACTTTGGGCTGTATTTCATTAATTTGAACCCGTGGTGAATCTTTAAATATAGAAGGGAAAAAATTCAAATGTTTGCTGATAATCTGCAATGTGGTAGGCACTAATACCTGTCAGAAACAGATCTAAGGGTTAATGGATTAGTTGGGAAGAAAGGCATTTTCATGACTATAACTCAAATAAGCGACCAGTGCTTTGGTAAGTAACAGTGAGAGCTGTTACTTTACAGCTTTACAAATACTTTACAAATATTTACAGTATACTTTATATACTGTAATATACTTTACAAAGTATAAAATACTTTACAAATATTTACAGTAAATATTTAGAGCTTAATTCTGACTGTAAATAGAGGTAACATTTGAAGTGGGCCTTAAAGGGATGAGTGAAATATCACAGGTATTTGAAATAGCATGAGCAAAAAATGCACAATAGGATAAACATATGTCATATATAAGATTGTGTGAGTATTTACCAATTAGGGAACAGTTTTGGTGGGGGTACAGGGAAGATAGGGAAGTTTGTAGCCACTTATGAGTGTTGTACTGATGTCTTGATTCTGTAGATGAGTCTGTGATGATAGAATAGTGTGAAATTAGCCACAGCTGTCAAGACTGTGAAGTTATCTAGTTTTTCACTAAGCACATGAGAAACTATGGTACAGATACAGTGACTCAGCTAAGGCCCATAGCTCATTACTTATAGAACCAAGGCCTAAATCCAGACTTGATTTACAGTCTATATTAGAAGATGTACTTGAAACGGTGAGAGAGAGGAAGTCAAATACTGTTTTAATAAGCTAGGTGGGAAAGCACAAGGACCTCAGTGGAGACACTAACAGGGTAAAGAGGATGCTGTTGAAGCGAAGAACTGTTAAGGGTAAAAGCAGTAAGATTTGGTGGGAGAGGGGGAAGTTGAAGATAATCATAACTTCTAATCTGGATGAATGAGAGTGTTGGTGACATTATAAAAAGATGGCAACATCTGTTTTGTAAGATTCATGGTTGTGTGCAGATAGACTTGAAACAGTCTGATTCTGACCTCCATTTAAGGTTCAGTTGTTGATTCAGATGAACTGTTATGTTTGCAAGTTTTTCTTAAACTAATTTAAAGAGCATAATATAAATTGAAAGCCCTGTTTATTGCCATTAATTCTGTCTCCTTGTAATGCCGTGGAACAGCAGCCAAAAACCATTCATTGAAAAGTAAGGGTGTAATAGGTTAGCTTAAAGCCAAGCTGTGCTACAAAGACTTAAGGAACATTATATACATAGTAATCTAAGTTAGCTGCACCCAGGACTTTTGGAGCCCTTGGGCTACTAACCCTGCTTACTATAATAAAGTTTTTACATTTCATTTGCAGTTTAGAATGTCTAGCATAATTCTCTGTTTGTGGTAGATAGTAAGTGGTTACTAATTACTTGGTTGATCATAATTTATGACACAGTCCTAAGAGTAAGGGCTTATCTCTTGAGGAAATACTAATAACCTTGATTTCAAGAAGAGGACTTAGGAGTCTCTGGTCTTATGGGATGATATTCAAAGCTGACAGCATATCCTGACCATATAAATGTATAAAAGTGGCACTTCTGGGTTACAATTTTAGAACATGGAGGTAAACTTATATTCTGTTGACAATGCTACATTTTTCTAGAATCCCATTCTGGCTTATTCCTGCTAGAGTAGTGGCCAGTTAAATAGCTTTTTTCACCTACTTTAGGGTGCCTCAAGATACCCTATTGAGGGAGATGACAAGCTATTTATTATAAAAAGAGGAGAACTACACTAAGTTAATCAGTTTTCTTGGGAGATTTGGGTTGATTGACGTGTTTTGAGTTTTTGGTATGGTAGGAAAACTTCAGTTAACCCAGAGCAATGTGTGCACCACCCCCACCCCCAACCTTTTCACTTAACTATAAATTGTAGGGGCCTTTGGACATGCGGAAAACCAGTTATTTAAACAATTGGATTTAGATTACAGAGTTCGATGTCTTTTTCTTAACCTTTGTGAACAGATGGACTTATTTTGAGTCATTTGCCAAATGGGCCAACTGCTCATTTTAAAATGAGCAGTGTTCGTCTTCGTAAAGAAATTAAGGTAGGTTTTATGCATTCCTTGACTGGTATTGATTCCTCATAGTATTTGATTAGTAGATGCTCTTATAGATCAAATAAATGATTTTAGTAATGGCATTTCTGTTATTAATTAGAGCAGTAATTTTATCAATGTTGACAGTTTTCTTGTGAGATTCTGATTGAGTTATGGCCTACAGGCAATAGCCCTCGTTACTATGAAGCATGTTGATTTTCAAAGTAGGACTTTCCTTTAGTTGCATTCACTGCATATTAAAATAATTTTAGATACATCTTATTTCATGGGTTTGATAAGCCATCTGTAGGAGTTTGTCATAAAGAAAACTAAATTTTTCAGATTTGTCACATAAATTCTAATACTTGAAATTGAATTATTGTTTTGCCAGTTATCTTTGATTCACTGTTGGTATTCTTCATTTTGTTTCCTAGAGAAGAGGTAAGGACCCCACAGAACACATACCTGAAATAATTCTGAATAATTTTACAACACGGCTGGGTCACTCAGTTGGACGTATGTTTGCATCTCTCTTTCCTCATAATCCTCAGTTTATTGGAAGGCAGGTTGCCACATTCCATAATCAGCGAGATTATATCTTCTTTAGATTTCATAGGTGAGGCACTTTAACTCCTTGGATTTTGATTTCATTCATGAAATACATTTTCAACATGAACCTGTTTTCTAATGTAACAAGTATTGTAGAGGAGAAAATAAATTATCTTTTGAACCCTGTCATGTTAAATAACAGTTGGGTTCATTCAGACTAATTTCCTCATTAACTCTTTTGTCTTTAAAGGTACATATTCAAGAGTGAAAAGAAAGTGGGAATTCAGGAACTTGGACCATGTTTTACCTTAAAATTAAGATCTCTTCAGAAAGGAACCTTTGATTCTAAGTACGGAGAGTATGAATGGATCCATAAGGTATGTGCTTATTGTTTCAAAAAACCATTTAAGGGACAGGTATCCTTAATCCTAGCACTTTGGGAGGCTGAGGCGGGGGGATGGCTTGAGGCCAGGAGTTTGAGACCAGCCTAAGCAACATGGTAAGACCTTGTCTCTACTAAAAATAGAAAAAAATTACCCAGGCATGGTGTGCGCACCTGTAGTCCCAGCTAATTGTGAAGCTGAGGCAGGAGGATCGCTTGAGCCCAGGAGTTTGAGGTTGCAGTGAGCTATTAATACGATGATGCCACTGCACTCCAACCAGGGCAACAGAGTGAGACCTTGTCTTCTCCCCCGCCCCACCAAAAAAAAGTATGGAATAAGAAGGAAACCATGCACTCTAAATTTTGCATGTTTAGACCTTAAGTTATGCTTCTGAATTTCTTGCCCTATAAGCTAGAAAGAACTGTGTGATACAGTATCTGGGACTGGTGATTAACTCTGGTTTATTTGAGGTATCTTAAAGATCAGTGGTTCTCAAAGTGGGACCAACACCATCACCTAGGAACCTATTAGGAGTGAAAATTCTTAGGCCACAGACCTACTCCATCAGTAACTTAGAGGGCGGGGCCCAGTAATCTGTTTATTACATGATTCTACTGCATGTTTCCTGAGAACTATTGCTATAGAGGTTTGGAGATCTTCTTAAAGTCATAAATGAAAACCTCAGTATTACAAAACATTCTTTTCTATCTAGCAGTACTTAACATTTTTACTCTAAAATCACACACACACAGAAGAGTAACCACCAACACCTTTTATATTAGACCTGAGACTGACTACTCAGGGTCTCAGAGCCAAACCCAGAGTTTTTCAGCACTAGTGTTACCTATAAAGATCTAAGGAAGTTAATTTTTACTTTTACCTGAATTTTTCATTAATTTTCTTTTCTCCCCTCCCCTTCTAATTTTCAGCCCCGGGAAATGGATACAAGTAGAAGAAAATTCCATTTATAAACTGCTGAGGGAATAGTATTAGATTTTGCTAAACAGACTGTCTTGAACTTGGTAAATTATTTTTAACAGAACAACCTTTTCAAAATGTATTTACTGATTTCATAAACCTTCTTTCATATCTGGACAAATTACCAAATGTCATGGTATGTTTATGTAGCAAATATAAATAAAAGTCATTTTGGTGACAGTTTGGGTTTCCTAAAACTTAACTCTGTTATTTTTGGTAATTGTGAATAATTTAAGTTGGAATCAAGATTCAAATTAACTTTTCCATTTGCATTTTCATAGATCATAGGGGCTGGAGAGAGATAAAATGCTTGGTAAATACTGGGTAACCCTTTATACCAGGTTAATCTTGGATACCCAGTGTCTGGCACATAGTCTTAACTTAAATTGGGGGCCAGGTTTCTGGGATGTTTTAATATTCCCTTAAGCCTCTCAGAAGGGTAAAAAAAAATTTAAAGCAAAATGTATTACCAGGACTTGAAGCAAAGTTGCAAATTACTGAAGCTAATATTTAGTTCCTGGTGTTTTTTGTATTTTTTTGTCTTGTCTCCCATGTACCTCATTATATAGTGCTTCAAATCAGGCCTTGTCTCAAGTTCTGAAGTTTTTCTTATATCTTCTAATGGAATTCTTAATTGCAGTCTTTTCTCTACTACTGTCCTTGTTAGGAGAGCCATCTATTAGGAAATAACTAACTTTTAGGGATAACTAATAATACCCCTATGCAAAGGAGTTTATTTGAAATATTTATTATTAAAACAAAGTTAACCCTGTAAATGACTCACAGATAGAAACTGTAGAACTTAACAGCCTCCTCTTGACCTTAAAAGAGTAAAGGTTTACAACTTACCTTTAATTCTCTAGCAGGCCTGCAAATGTATGGCAGTAAAGTCACATGAGAATAGTGGAACAAACACAAAAACCATAACCCATTCAGGTGTTCAAACAGATTAATACATAGTGTATTTAAGCCAATAAGGAAGCAAAAAACTTTTATACTAAGTATTTTATTGTCTGCAGCCACCAGTGTATATAAAACAATTCCCCTTGTGAAATAGAAGTTCATGAAAATTCAGAGAGGTAGATGTTAAGTACTGACAAAAGTAGAAGTTTGCATATTATGGCACATGTATTGTTATAAGGATAAGCTTTTGTACAGGCTTCAGATTTAGTTGGTTCTTGAATATTCACCAGTTCATAAGAAGTGGTTTGGGAAACCTGAAATGGAAAAAAAAAAAAGGTGAATTAGGGTAAAGTATCAAAGAAAATAGTTTTTAAAACTTTTTTCATGAATAATTAACAATTATCCTTGTTTTTGTATTTCTCAGTTTTTAATAAATTGCTTAGGTACTTTGCCTATTTTTCTGAAAAACAATATATCTTGTATTACTTTTAGGGTATTCATTCAAATGTCAGTTTATAAAGCGCTTTCAATTAAACTAAGCCTGTTTCCTTATCTATATTTAAAGAGCAGATAGATCACAGGATTTTTAAGAAAGAATGAGAAAAAGGTGGGAAATGCCTATGGTGTGTTAACAGTAAAATCTACCTTTCTCTTAATTTTCACAACCATTCTGAAAGTATGTATCATTCTGCTTTACAAATAAAAAAGACTTACAGATTAACTTGCTAAGATTACTCCCAAAATGCACTTGTATCATAGTAAGAAAGGTTAACATAAAACTCTTAAGTGAAGAAAAAGCCGAACATCTCTAGAAAAATAAGCAGAAGAGTATTTAGGAGAGCAGTTGGGCAGTATCTAGTAAAGTAGAAGATGCAACACTTCTATTTACCTGGATAAACCTATACACAGAGAAACATGAAACACAAGCATTACAATGTCAGGATAAGTTACCTATATAGAAAGGTGGAAGAAGTATGAACTGTTTTATTTCTTTTTAAAAAATTAACAATGTGAAACATTTAATTCAGGATAGTAGATACATGCTTCATCTTTGTACTTACTTTGAAAATGAGATATTTCATAACAAATATGTTTAAGAGGCATAAACAGAATCATGAAAAGCACATGAAAAATGGTTAACCTCACTTAAAATAGTAGCTAAGTTTGTTGGGCAAGGGCTCAGGGATAAAGCACTCATGGTCCAGGTGGAAGACTAAAGTATTATCCTGGCAGGGGTTACCAAGTACAGTATTGTTAAAATTTTAAATCTTCATTCCTTGCTGACTAACTTGTATAAATTTATCTTAAGAAAACAGAGGTAAAGTATACATATAGATACCAAGGACTCATTGTAGCCTCAAATTTGGAAACTAAAATATTCAAGAGTATAATTAAGTTATAGTACAGCCATCGATATCATCTTGTTTACAAAGATATTTAATGAAATATGAAAATTCATTAAGTGTTTTAAAACACTGTGAGCTTTATTTTTTAAAAATAAAAATATTTTTGTGGCATCCATTGTAGCATTTTTTAAAAATGTTTCATATAAAAGCTACCTTAATTTTACACGTGTTTCCCCATTGTAAATAAGCCTGTCTTCCTATCTAGGTTTTTGCTGCATATATGTTCTAATGATTAACTACTTTTGCATCTTTTAATCCTGTATTATTCTTCAACCTTGTATAAAAGGGGGAAAATTGAAAAGCTGGAATCTCAAAAAAGATTAAAAATAAAAACATTTTTCTTAAAAGGAAATTACAATCTGTTAAAAGCGGTTATTTCTAGGTGTGCTGATCATGGTAATTTCTATTTTTCTTGTAATGCCTGTTGCTAAATCACCTATGCTAAATTTTTAAAATTACAAAAACCTTATAATTTTTAAAAGCTACATTTATGAGTACGTAAAAACTCCAAGGTAGATTTTGTACAATCATGCCGCTCAATGTGATCAGCATTAGTACAATACGGGGGACTGTAAGAAATGTAGGTTCTAGGGCCTTACCTCCGACCTGCTAAACTGGAATTTGCATTTTAACAAAGTGATTTGTAGATACAGTCAAGTTTGAGAAGAAATGTTTTAATACTCAAATATTCTTTCCCTAGTCCAAATTGCTTCAAATCACAATATCCACAAAGCTGTTTTCTTAAACTGCTAGGATTAAGAGCCATTATTTTACTTCGAAATCTGGGTTCTTCATCCCAGCCGTATCTGTAGACTCCTGTGAAATAAAACTACTCATAGCTGCCCAGGATTCTTAACAGTGTTTTATTCAAATGAAAATAAACTCCTGTGTAAACAATTAAGAACTGATGTTAAAAAAGAATCGTTAATAAACTATAAAAATAAGAAACTTCCAGCCAGGCGCGGTGGCTCACGCCTGTAATCCTAGCTATCTGGGAGGCCGAGGCGGGCGCATTGTTTGAGCTCAGTTCGAAACCAGCCTGAGCAAGAGCAAGACCCTGTCTCTACTAAAAATAGAAAGAAATTAATCGGACAACTAAAAAAAATATATAGAAAAAATTAGCTGGGCATGGTGGCTCATGTCTGTAGTCCCAGCTACTCGGGAGGCTGAGGCAGTAGGATCGCTTGAGCCCAGGAGTCTGAGGTTGCTGTGAGCTAGGATGACGCCACGGCACTCTAGCCTGGGCAAAAGAGTGAGACTCTGTCTCAAAAAAAAAATAAGAAACTTCCAAAAACTGCCATTTGGAATTAAATGAATATTGCCAGAAGCAAGGAAATAATAAACTGTTAAAATATGAAGGTGCTAGACTTAAAAAGAATTACTTCCCCATGTGCACCTTTACACACATGACACCTGTTACTCATGTGTACTCCCCCTAGTATTTCAAAAAACTTAAACCCTCTTAACCAACGATTGTATTTACTGGAAACATGTATTTATACACAGACTTCCTGGATACTCCCAAGTTTACAAAGCTTAATTAGGGAGGGCACAACCATTTAACAAGGTATTTTGGAAGCAGCTTCCTGGACTTTGTAGAGTGAGAATGCTAGTAAATGTGTATGTGTGCCATATACAAAATCCTTTTTTTGTAAAGCACTATTTAAGTTTGCTTCTCATAGGTCAATACTATTGAGTACATTTCCAAAGTAAAGTACTAAGAATTTATAAAAGGTAGCACCCTTGAGTTACATTTTAAATTATCCAAAGCTTGTTTATGATCCTGTCTCTTTTGGATTAACATAACATTTTTGCACACATGATATGTAATCTGTAAGGTACAAATTAATATGCTGATGCATACTTTAATAAAAAGCCAGCAGGTCTTTAGTTTCTTAATTCTCTGAAATTCAATCCA